TATATATATATATATATATATTTGTATATTGATCTTCATAAAAGCAATCGTGTTTCTTATTTTTATCGAATTTAATTACGTGGATTGAATTTCTCATCAGCTTCCTATAATTAATTTGAAGATTAGACACAAAAAAAAATGTAAAACAAAAAGTATTATACGTAAAAATATATCGTACCTCAGATGCGGTTTTTGGAACTAATCCTAAGCTATTGAGCATACCAGATGTCGAGTCATCAACGGGACGTGCTGACAATTTTTTACACTTTATCAAGTGTCTCGCTGTAATATTATACCAATTGAAATTAAACTCTATTAACAATATTAAAATATTACATTTTTCTTCAAGATTATTATACCTAATTGATTGCCATCGATCGATGTATACCCGCATAAGCATTGTAATTTCTTATCTAGCGGAATATTAACTAAAGGAGATGGCACGATTAGGCTGGTCTTCGGTCTTTCATTATGAATTTGTTGTTGATGTTCTTGGAATGCACGCCAACAACACGTAACATATCGACATTGTTGACATCGTTGCTCACCCCTATGCATTATATAATTTACATTATTAATCGTATAAAATTGTTGATTTTTAAATAATATACTTACGGATAATGTTCATCTTCGTCAATATCTTCTTCACATTCCTGGCAGGACAAATATCTGACGGAAGTATTCACCATAATTGGCCCAGTACTCCACTTTTGTATTTTTTCATCTGGTGGTAATTCGGGTAAAGGACTATCTACAGTAAATCGTGTCTCTAGTACGTCTTTTGAGACCATTATGCCACTGTTGCCGGCTGAATATGGTACTGCCTCTGTATATATTCATTTTATGATTAAACGATAATTACAATCTTTTCATATAATATACAAGCGTATTCAAAGTATATTTTTAAAAATGATATAATCGATATAAAATAAATATATAAGTAAAGTTACGATTAAATTTTTGCTTAAATTCTTGTTAATTCGTTGATAATGAAAAAAATTGATACATACAGCGTTAAATATTTAACCACACATTTAAATATCTATACATATTTATATATACACATTAAAATAGCTATATATACTTGAATTAAAAACATGATCGTGTAATTCCCGCTGATGTAAAGTTAAGGAACTCTTTTGATTGAACCATAGACAGCATCTTGAACATTTATTGCCTTTTCCTTGATCCCTTCTTACGATGTGCCTTTGCATATGTGTCAAGTAAGCGTACACATTGGACGCGTTCGGCTTGCCTTCGTTCACAAAATGTATTACCTTTCACAATAGAAAAATTGTATTAATCTATATTGACATAGGAATAGGAATATCTGTGATATTTTCCTCTTCTTACTTTAAGACAATACGGGCATTGCAATCCTTCGCCCTTTTCGTGAATTTTATAATAATGATCTATAACATCCTTATGACTGGATGTTCGATAACCGCAATTTTCGCAATGATACGGCATCTCGGAAGGATAATGCATCAATGATAAATGATCAATTAACGATTTGCTCTTACCTAAACGAGAAACATGTACAAATGTGATTACCTCGCATTATACATTTTATTTATCTTCTTACATAATTACAGATTACAAGTCAGTTTGAAAATATTAACTTACCAAATTTCTCCTCGCAAATCGCACAAACTACCATGACGCTATCAGAATGTCCGAAATTGCTATGTGTTTCTGACACATGAGTAACCATTTGATGCCGAGACGATAGCGGGGTACAACAATATCGGCATACCGACAATTCCGGTTGACCCGGCACTTGCGGTGGTACATGACTAACCATATGCTCCATCACTTCTGTGTTAGATCTCATTACAGTCGTGCAGAGGAAACACTACAAGCCCAAAAAAATTATTTGTCAGATATAAACATGCTGATAGTATGACAGCACAAAAATTTTGAACAAACCTTGAAATATAAAGAAATCCTTAATTCTTTTAAGACAAGGTTTTTATCACCCTCCATTGTAGCATA